GTGTGTCCTGAGTTTCTGTCATATATCTACTTGATAGCTAGACAATTTCAGCTTGGAAAGAAGGCTAATAGGTTTTTCTTTTTATTACTGCCATTTTTCAGTATTGTATAAATAACACCTTTATAGTCTTGCTTAGGGCTCTTCTGTAAGAGCAATACATTCATATTTAACATGCCCAAGCCTCTTAGTAATGTAACAACACAGAATGAAGGGGGGAGGAAAAAGGAGAATTAAAAACACTACAGAAGCCAAGGTCAACAACAAGTAGTTTTCCACCACATTTAACTCTTAAGAAAAGAACATCTACTATTCCAGTCATTAATAGCAACAATTTACAAGAAACAGTGAAGTGACAAATCTGTCAATGGCTTTGTTTTGCTCTCCCATCAATAGGGAAGGGATGCTTACACAGACCTGAACCCAAGATAAAAGACCATGAAACAGGACCCACAAGTTCTGAATGTTTACCTCAGGTGTTTTCTACTACACTGTACTGCCAATACCTTCTAAACTTTCTTCACAATGGAGTTACTAAGTTGTCCCTGCATGCATGCACATGTGAGATGTGACTGCAAGCAAAAAAGTTCAGAGCAACAGTAAGCCCCGAAAGTGAAAATGACAGATCTCTCCAGCTGTCCAATACCTGTGAAGAAAATACCTTGGAGGTTAAAAGCAATGTGTTCTTAAAACTCATCTGTAAATTGGAAAATATGCTACTGTTTTAATTGACAGCTCTCTGCCACCATTCCTTATTTTTTCTTTCAGTTCACATAATGAAAACAGCAAGTTAAACCTGGCTTCCCCTTGTCAACTTTTTATGTTCTTTGTAAGAGTTAAGAGGTGCAGCTATATCAGGGATATCTTCAGGGCTGTATATTCTCCATTTTCCTTGTAACGATAGAGCATCAGTCTTCAGTCATGAGTACAGGAGTGAACAAAATTATTTCTAATTAAGGCATTTTATTACCATCTCTCTAGCAGAGATGCTAAAAGTCACAGGGAGGAAAATACTTCCTTATTCTTAGATTCCAGATGTTGCTTTTTGCAGTTATTTGTGCAGTAGTACTGTTCTAAGCATCCACTTCTAAGTTTGCTTTGAACATGAGGAGTATAAAGACTGAAAAAGGCAAGACTTACAAATTATTAACAAAATAGGTAATAATTTGTAAGAAAACAAAGTTAGAACAAGCTTTATGAATGAAATTATTTCTAAGCACTTCCTATTGTTACCATCCCCTAAAAGGCATTCAAAAATGTGCTGGCCATTTGTTTACACTTGATTCTATCACTTTTTTTTTTTAGTACCTTGCTTTTCTTAAAAGGCTTATCTCCCTTCCAGAGGAAAGCATGGCTTATCTTTATTTCATACAACACAGAACCCTTCTTTTGCTTTCTTTGCTCATTCACATTGCAACTAATGCTAAAATTCAATGGGAAATGCTGAGATCTTCACAGAGGAATTACCCCAAAAATATGGGGGCATTTGGCATTCCACATTGTTCAGCTTGACTGTTAGAGGTTTCTCTCAGGAATGGGCAGGTAGAGACCTATGGATCTCTGAACACTCCTTTTTACAGATCTGAACTTAAGTTCTCAGAGGGAATTTTTTTGCGTACTTTGCTGGAGTTCTGCTACCTGATGCAGCAGATACCTCTCTACTTTCTGGGGATGTGATAAGGGTCAAGGGAAGAGACTTAAATGCTACTGTGATGAGAGAGATAGATACATACAAATTCAGGGTAGCTATTTCAATACATGAGTCTTTCAGTGAGGTAAAGCATGAGCAAAGATTACTGCTTACATTTCTGCAAAGTCATGGATTTGCTTGCTGGGTGTTGTTGGGATGGTTAGTAAGTCTAATGGCCAGTTTATTTTATCATCATGAGGAAGGATTTTTTTTTTTTTTATCTGGAACAGGAGGTCTGGAGGAGTTGTACTAATCAGCAGCTACATTGCCTGGAAATAATTTCCTTTTGACTAGAACTCTTTAGCACGTGAACCAACCACTCTTTTAATACTTGTTTACCTGAATGCTTTACAATGATCATTATTTTTCTCCATATGTTAAGTAAGATACATCTAAGGGAAAGCACTATTATTGTAAGGCTGATGACCTGGAATCTCAGTTATTGTTCTGATGTTTATTGCTGAGCCATATCTGGGCACAAGCATAGACAAAACGTACTGAAATCTCATCTCCTAAAGTTAGCACATGTGACATGTGCTATACCTGAAAGGTGTTCCTTCTAATCCACACAGCAAAAATTATGCCCAAGTATGACTGTCTACCTCACACACTCACCCCTATGTAAAGAATGGTAACTTTATGAAACTGCTTTTAATTTTCTTGTTAAAAGTCATTTTGGGGTGTACTGTGACCAAATCTGGAAGTAAAAATATTTTGCTACTGGTTTTGACATCTTAAAAATATTTATGATACATGTTTATAACATGCTTTATTAACTCAGTGTTTCAGGTCCTCAGCCTTCACTGAAAATTCTGGACAGGTAAATCTCCTTGCCTTCTGTCTTTCAGGAAGGCTGGGAAGGTAATTTCTATACTATCAAGACAAACTCTACTGCTTACAAATGATAAAAAAAAAAAAACTAAGTACATCTACAGTAACTTTTTCTCATATTTTTTTTTGAGGTCACACTTATGATCAGTGGGTGCCACTTATCATGCTTTGCTTCATGTACCAGAACAGGCTTGACTTGTGTGAAATAGATTGTATAACCAAAGAATATTAAGATATTAAAATAATGAAATAAACAAGAGAGTCAGGCAAAGCAAGATGAAGAGAATAAATAGAACACTTACCTGTATCCTGGGCTCACTCAGGAAACTCCAGCAGAGTGGATCTCCAAAAGAGATCCTTCCCCACTGGTAGTCAGCTCTTAAATGGGTCTGGGAGAGGTGGAGCCAGGCTCCACCCCTTCCTGCAGCACAGGTGAATTGCCTTCACCTGTGCTCCCAGGGCTGACTCATTGCTCGCCTCAGGTGATCAATCAGAGGTTCAGGCTGTGACTCAGCAGTTCCCATACATGGATTAAATCCAGCTGGATGACACAAACCTGGAAAAGCCTATTTGAGGTGCGCAGTTGGTACAGCCATTAATGGGTATTCAGGCTAAAGCATTAGAGCTCGTTCAAAGCAACCACTCCTGAAACGTAAGTAAGGACATAATGTTCTCTGCACCAATGGTTTCACTGAACACATTCATACCTAGTGAGCTGCACTATCTGCTAATGTATGTGTGGTATTAGTCGTGTAACTTTTTGTTAGGGAATATTTTCAGTAGTTCTGAAATAGTTTCAGGACTTCTTGTTCCTAGCATAAAGTAACTGATTTGTTTCCTTTTTCTTTTTTTTTCCCCCTGAGATTTGTGTATCTTCTAGAATGTTCTGATTTTTCAATTGAAATGTTCTGTAAATGTTTTGGAGACATCACAAACAAGACAATCTTATTTTAACTTCTTTAGAACATTGTGCATGTTTAATTTTAAGGACTTCTTGAGAAACCATGTTTATCTGAAATTTTAAATGCTAAATGTAGAGGGATGCCTTACTTTGACTCTAGAATTCATCATTTTACCTTGATGAAAGAAAAGATAGTTTCCACCTTTAACCCTTTTAAATGTATGTGATATTTTACAGGCTATAATTTGTTTGTTAAATTCAATGCAAGCATGAGAAACTTCTTTGTACTCATGATCTGACAACATAAATATAGATTGCTATTAACATGCTATTAAAATAATGCAATCTATTTCTATTAATACTGATGTCAGTTTTTTTTACATTAATTGTATTGGATGGTGTGTTGAGGAGGGTATTTTAGTTATGTAATTATTGTTAGGTGCAAGAGATTGTGTTGTACTAACAAGTGTGGTTATGTATGTGCACACCGTGTACCTGAGTGCATGTCTACAGAAATCAGTGCAGTCTGAAGCCTTCCCTGAATTCACTGTCTTGTGTTGCTGCTTCTTTTGAGAAGGTTCACATGCTTGAGCAAAGTATGTGTGTGTGGGGGGGGGAGGGAGGGGGCTACAAATTCTGCTGTGAGAAAGGGTTAAAGGGTATTTCTCTGAGAAGTGATCCAGTTAAGGATTTAAGGAAGGGACAAGCAAAGCAAAGGGGTCTCTGGTGATGTCACCCCAGGTGGGGCAGGGGAATTGCTTTGTTCAGTGTCACTCGTGAGTCTCCAATTTAACTGAAAAATAAAAACTAATCTTAGGGCACCCCTTTACTACTATTGCCTGAAGGATTTCTGCAGACAAGAGGACAATGTGAAACAAATCAAAACCAAAAAAAAACCCAATTGCTTTTCCTGTGTGCTGAGAGCAGGCACGCCAAGGCTTTTAAGCCAGCACTTTTTTTCTGTTTTGGTTTCTAAGTGAACAGGTTCCTCTGTACTGCTGAACAGTTTGGAAGACTTAAATGGTCAAGGGCACGTTATTTAGAGAAGGAACTGAGATGTTTCTCGGTAAAGGGGAAAAAAATAATAGAAGGGAGATCTCCTTTGGCTTCAATCACTCGTCAAGTTATGTTGCGTGTTTGCTCAGTCTTCTTCTGCAATGATGTGAAATCAGAGCAAATGACTCTCACCACCATTTGCTTAATGCTACTTCCCAGTTCCAGAAATTGTTATTCAAATCATCCTCCTCTTTGTGCCCCGTTTGGCTGTCAGTGATGGCATCAAACGATCGCTGGCAGAACCAGACCCCTGCGTCCAGATGCACGCCTGTGCCTGGCGATGGTCTTAAAGCAGCGCACCCGTCAGCACAACAACCCGCGCGCTGTTATCGCCCTGCAGCTCACGGCCAAGGCGCGAGGCTGGCTGCCCCAGCCCAGGTTTGCCCTTCCGACTCTACAGCGCTAGATGAAGCGCTGCCGAACGGCCCAGCCCACCCCGCGCCGGGCAGCTTGCCTAAGGGCTCGCAGCTCAGCCCGGCCGCCCGACCCCGCTAAGATGGCGGCCCCTGACCCCCGCGCTTCCTCTTCCGGCCGGGGTTGCCATGGCGCTGCCCCCCCTCGGCCCACCCTCAGCCGCCGCCGTGTGTGTTTACATCGGGCGGGAGGAGCCGGAGCGCTGGGGGAGACCGGGACGCAGCCGGCTGCGACGGCCGCCCGCCCTCCATCCCCTGCGGGCGGTGCCCGGGGAGACGCGGCATGAAGGTAAGGAGAGGCGGGGGGCGGCCCCCCGAGGAGCCGGGGCTCGGCGGACAGCGACCCGGGCGGGCCGGCGCCGCAGCGCGGGCGTTCTGCGATCTCCTTGCGGCTCAGGGCTTCGCCTGCGGTTCTCCTCTCTCGGGCCCTTCCGAGGGCGTGCGGGAAGGCAGCCCTCCTGGTTGGTTTGCCGTGCAGCCCCTGGTAGGGATGAGGTCGATCGTCTCGTTTTGAACTTGGTGTCCTGGTGGAGGTGGATGCTGGGATGGGGTTATTAAAGTTGTAACGCAATAGCTCTCGTTGCAAAGGTTGTCTTGGCAGTTGTTGTGCTCGCTCGAGGAGTCAGGCTGAGGATTACATCACAGGAATGACTTACGGTTGTGCCAAGGTGTTTCCTTCTATTGATCTCTTTTGTTTGCAAGTATATATCCTTATGAGCTGCTCCCCTCCATCCATCACTCTGAAATACGAGGCACATTGGTCGCTCCCTGTCTCCTCGGTTTGTCTAGCAGCCTAATTTTATCCATCCTCTGCATCATAAGCTCGTGGAGGCAGAAACTGTATGTACCTATGGCCTGCACCTGTCGTGATGGGGAATCCTGACTCAGGCCTTCCTGCGAGCCTCAGAGCCTACTGTGAGATGAAAGTTGCCCAGTTTATGAACAGTTTGAGTCCTGGGCCGTGCAAATTCTGGTCGCTCAAGTTAAGTATCATCTGCACATGTATGAGGGGCTCCAGCTCTGAGTGTCTGTGCAGCTCACGGGTGGAAGAAGAGAGGCAGCTTCCAACCATATGGAAAGAAATATATATGAGTCACAAAATTGCAAGGAAGGAATCTCGAGAGATTGAGTCCAGCCCCTTTGCTGAAGCAGGTTCAATAGTTTGTATAAGTAGACACCCAGATGGGTCTTGAATAGCTCTGTAGAAGGAGATGCCACAACCTCTCTTGGCAGCCTTTTCCAGTGCTCTGTCACCCTTACTGTAAAGAAGTTATTCCTGTTATGCACTGTTAGTCTTTTATTTTGCTTAACAGCTGAGGGTGTTGATTTTTCTTCTGTTTGATTGCTTGTTCTTATAGAGTGGGATAACAAAAATATGTATGAGGAAGGTATTTGTAAACAGCCTTATGGCCTTGGGTAAGCTGTTGGCTTGCACTGCATAACAGAAATCTCGGTGTGTTGGCTGAGTACTACATCCAGCTTGAGGCCAAAATAGGGAAAAGCTGCCTTTCAGCTTCTGTTTTATTGCATGCAGGGTAAACTGCTGATTATTCTTGCTAAGCCCCTTATTTCTGCTGAATTCCTCTTTTGCCTTGACCAGGATGGGAAAGCTCATGGTTGTTTTGAATGGCCTAACAGAAAATAGGGCAGTGTGCGAGTGGAGTCATGTTGTGGTTGGAAGGAATTCATGTGTGTTTTGACTTCCTTTTTCCCCCCTTTTATCAACTGTGAGCATTTCAGTCTAAGAAACTCCACAGTTTTCAAGTAACTTACTTCAGTATGTATTTCTTTCCCTCTGCTGTAGTTTTTGCCTGAGTTTCCTCAATGTAAGATGCATAATTTAAAGTCTTAAGATATGGGTTGTGTGTGGTGGAAATAATTATGTTTTTAATAAACAGCTGTAATGCATCAAAAATGTTTGTGCCTAGTTTTTTTTTTAGCTCATAAAATGGAGAAGAAATTGGAGAGGAGGAGAGTTCTGTGTGGTGTGAGAATTGGATCTGAACCTTTTTCATGGGCCTGCTCACAAATAATTCAGTCTGATTTCAAAACAAATCAATGTAAAGTTTTTTTTAAATTGTTGATCAGTGCAGGGAAACAACATTTTAGAATCAAGCTTTTTGAGAAGTTAGCTTTCCTATTTCTTCCCTAATTGCTGCTATGCCTTGGGAAGTAATCTGAAGTTGTGTGCCTCTTATCAGCATTTGTTTTGAGCCTTTTTTGTTGTTGCTGATCAGCAGGTTGCTGAGAATGCAGGGCTGTCAGAGTAAAACAAGCTGATGATGGCTTTTGTAAGGATGATCTGGCTGTTTGGAAGAGTGGAAAGCAGCTGAGGAGAAGTGGTAGCATCAGGGGAGTAATCCTTCCATGATCTGTAACTAGTGTCTGATGGTTGCTGGGGAAACTAAATTTTGTGCTTTATTTTTAAGTCAATCAAATAAAATAAGTATTCTATTAAAAAGGTACAGGGAAAGCAACATGGCAAATTAGTTATTCAAAGCTTGAAGTGCTGAAGCTGGAGAGGATTCAGGATCATGTCAGTGCTTTGCTTCTGTTCCCATCTCTTTCGGGTACTGGTGGTGGTTAGAGATGGCATCTATGGAGCCTTCCAGGCAGCACAAAATATAAAATTGGTTGAAACCTCCATTTCCTAGGCTATAAGACAGGAATGAGATGCAGTTAGCCTGAGGGTGAACCAGTGCTATACACTGGAGTATATGCAGTGTGTGCAGAATGTCAGAATCACAGAATTGTAGGTGTTGGAAGGGACCTCCAGAGATCACTGAGCCCAAGCCCCTTCCAAAGCAGGCTCCCTACAGCAGGCTGCACAGGTATGTGTCCAGATAGGTCTTGAATAGGTCCATGGAAAGAGATCCCATGACCTCCCTGGGCAGCCTGTACCAGTGTTCTGTTACCCTTACTGTAAAGTTCTTTTGCATATTTTTGCAGAACTCTTTATGTGCCATTTTATGGCTGTTTCCCCTGGTCCTGTCCCCACTGACCACTGAAAGGAGGTTGGCCATATCCCTTTGTCTCCCTCACTTAAGATATTTATAAACATTAGTAAGATCCCCTTTCAGTCTTCTTTTCTCAAGGCTGAAATATGAAATATTTTCTGGCTGAAATATGCCAAGAGCAAAAGCTTTTCTTCAAGGGCGGAAGATTATGATGGCAGGAAAATGGACCAGGCTGCATTAGGAGCCTGGGTACCAAGCCTCTTAGGGTAAGAGGGCTGTTCTACTTATTGGGGAAGTAGATAACAGTGGGGAAAGGACTTAGCCTTCACCCATCACGTTTTCGGGTCTTGTTGGAATTGAAGAATGGGCTTGCTTCCCAGCTGGTCACCGCTTTACACCTCATTTTGAGCAGGTCAATAAATTAGGACAGTAGAGTCATCCCTGGTGGCTGCCTGATGCAGCTGCTGCTGCTTCTACTTCTACCAATGCTGCTCCTGTCGTTGCTCTAACTTAAATGCACTCAGGAATGAAAAGCATTGAGAGAGTCTGAGAGTACTGAGATTCTTCTTTGGGAAAGTAGGCTCAAAGAGGTGATTTTGTTGAAGTAGCTGCTCACCTTTTTATTGAATTCCGATGATTGCGTAAAGTATAGGGAGAGGTGGTGGTGCTTGTGTTCACATCTGAGTTACATATTTTGGAATGAGAGTGCGTAGTATGAAAATGTTTCAACTCTGAGAAACTTTTATAGCTATATTTAAGAAAACAAACGTGATCTTACTGCCTGTAGTTGTTCTGCTTTTCTAACTGCTTTTGATACCCGATGCTGGCAGCAGAATACTAGAGATCTAATATGAGGCAGGTGTTTTGAAGATGAAGTCCAATCAAAAGTTAAGAAAAAACAAAGCAAATATTTCTCTTGCTTGTAATTTCAAACAGCTTGGTTCCTGAAGAGTGTCATGGATTGTCCTGTCAAAACTTGACGTATGCGTAACGTTGTGTCTGTGATCCTGCCTAGCAGGGCTCATGACAGCTGAAATGAAAAGCACTTTGGAAAGGAGCGGCTTATAAAAGGGAGAACAGACGAGAGATTGCTTGCTGTGGAGTATGTTGTCTTTTTTTTTTTTTTTCCAGCATGTAGTCCTAAATTTTTTATAGGAAATGGGAGGGAAGTGAATGTAACTGATAGAAAAAGTAAAAGGGACCACAGACTGTACAAATACTATAAATAGCTCTGACTTAAATATTTGCCTATGATGGGGCACCTCTGATAAGCGCACAACCCTGTGAACTTTGTAGTGGTTTTCCTTTCCCAGTGTTTTAGCTGAATTTCAGAGGGACAGAAAGAGGGTTCATGCCTTTGGTGTTCTGGGTAAGGTATGTGCTAGCAGAGGTGGAGCTCTTTGAGCACTTCATTTTGTGACTGAAGTCGTGAAAGTGACTTATGCCTGTGTTAGCAGACTTTGTGATCTTACCACTTGTGCACTGCTGCTGAAGTTCTAGTGCAATTCCTGTGCCTCCTTTCTATGTAAATATCAAGGAAAAACCTGTGCACCTTGGAGATCCACAGAAACTGCAGGCAACTGTCAACAGAGTAAGTTTTTCCTTATGAGTCAACAGGTGCAGTGTCTGCAGTTGTTATGATCACGTGTTTTCTCTATCTGACAGCTGTTTTGTTGCTGGGTGAAGTAACTCTAGCTGTAATGCTGTCTGCAGCAAATTGTGATCTTATTTACACTTCTTGCAGTTGATTTGGAAGCAAATGAGAGAGATTTCTACGATGCCTGAAGTAAAAGGGGCATTATTGCTGGCAGTGCTTCTGGCTTTGAGTTGATGCATGCTGGTTAGGTGTAAAAGTGGAGAGGGCTAGCGGATGTAATGCTTGCTCTGTATGTTAAGTAAATAATTTGAGATGTTATGCCTTTAGAACACAATGACAATAAATGCATAGAACAACATGCAACACTCTGAGCTTAAAGAGCTGGCATTCTCCTTTGTGAGGAAGAAAATAGACTTTACTGCTTAGCCATCAACAGAAGCACCAGGATAGTGTGTGCAGTAAGTGCAGCATATTACGATCTCCTTGTTAATTTTTTTTGTCTAAAAAATGAAATTTTAATTTTTGGAGAAATCAGCGTCTGTTTCAGGCTGTTTCATGGAAAGCTCTGACTATTGGGAGTGCTCATGTTTGTCAGGTTGGATACATGCTTATGTGCTTTGTATCTTCAGGTTTGTCGCAGAAACCATTGCATTCTAGCTGTGAAAGCCCTTGGAAAAACTGGTTATTTCAGCTCATTAAAGCTAGAACAGTAGTTGTGCGCTATTAAGGAAATGC